ATAAATCTTAAATTATATCATAGCGAACATGTCTGTTCAGAAGAAAATACTGGTCTCCCAGACTTGCAATGGAGGACAAAAATTAAGAGAATATTAAATATATTTATTTGTGTTCCAAAAATTAGCAGAGTTTGTATGGGTTTGGAACAACACAAGGGATAATAAATTATGACCATTTTCATTTTTTGGTGAACCCTTTAAAGAGCAGCCCTCCACGTACATGAAAATGTGTGAGGTATGTGAATGTCATGTCTGTTTTAATGTTTCAGTAAAGAAGTAGCTTTCTGAAAGCAATATATTTATTTAAACAATATTACATGCCCTCACACTAGTGCTGCCATTATAGCATTCTAGAGCGCTTTAAGACATTAAACAACCACACAAAGTGGTTGAAATTATAAAACAGACTATTTACCTATCCTTACTGATGTTGATGCACCTCTATCTGAAAATGTATAGATTTTAATTAAATGTTTTCTTTTTTCAAATGTTTTTCTCTTTTTAGGCCACTGATGAAGAACAGGCGGTGACTGGGATGAATGCTGGTCAAAGAGGAGAATGTCCTTTCCCCCAAACTGATGCAACAGTGGTTTTAAAGGAGGAGGCTGCCCTGGATAATGTAAAAGATGTCACATGCTTTTGCTGTGCTGATGGGGCTTCTTCATGACTTCATGACTGAGAGGTGCCTTTGCTTATGTAGAGGGGAAAAAGATATCGAGGTAATGAGTTTGTAACTAGAGAGTTGAGAGTTTCAATCTAGGTGATCCATAATGTAAAGATTTTTTTATTTATTTATTATATAGCCTTAAGAGGCAGTTCTGTTTGCCTGTGCCCATTTCTGTTCAGATTTGTTTTCTTCTGAATATAGGCTATATATACTGTATGTTTTCCACACCCACCACAAGTTTGGTAATGTCCAATTTTGGAAGAATTATTTTAATCTCTTCTTGAATAGCCTCTGCTGTTAAAAAAGAACACACTGAGTAATAATATCTGGTATCCAGTTTAATTCTTAAAAGGTTGAGGGGGAAAATGTTTACCGATTTAAGTGATTTAAGTCACTGCTTTATTTTTCTGAGTCTATTTGCTGTGGATTAACTTCTATACTCATGAGTTTTGTATGCAGTGACCCATATATACAGTTCTGTCAGGACCACTATCGTCAAAGATGATTGACAATTAGCATACAGTTTGGATTGGCGGTATGGTTCTTTTCTGGTAAACAGAACAGAACCAACATAAATGTATTGCAGATATCGTTAAAGTTCAATAATTTTATGTACACATTTTAGAATTAGTCTGATTCAAAGGATAATCAGAAGGCTGAATCCTGACTGACAGAGGAGGAGCTGGGGATGGAGGAGGGTAATTAGCTATTGAGCAATGTGAAAACTGCTGATAATACTGAGGGACCTTATATATGAATGCTTAGATAGGTGTCGTATTCCTATAGGTAGATGGGTATCACCTGAGAGTCAGCTGATGCGAGCTTGTCTAACGTGACCTGCCAGAACTAACGCTACGCTTGATTGTATACACACACACACACACACACACACCACACATACTTGTTGATCAACACCTGCTGTAATTTATGAATTTCAAATACTTCTAATTGTAAAAATGGTGATTTATAAATAAAATTGCTCTACTAACTGGGATGATACCCTGAGGCAGGAGTTCTCAAACTTTTTGGTGCCATGGGACCCCTTACAGGTGAGAACATTTCCAAGGACCACCTCACAATTATAACAGTGATTATGCATGCTTACTAGAATTTCGTCTCTGCCCAAA